AGGAGGGCATGTAAGTTTACATGGTTGAGTTTCAGGCTAGCAAGGCTATATACATGCCTCAAAAACAGAAATGGATGTTTATTTTTTTTAATAGCATTATGAGGTAATAAACCAACTTTTTTTTTTTTTGTGGTGCTGGAGAACCAGCCCAGGGCCTCTGGAAATTAGGCAAACATGCTACATCAAGTTTAGGCCCAGTGTGGCAGAGAAATATGAAAGATGAGAACCCATTTATAAATTAAATAGGGGGATGAAGATATGGGGTAGTGGCACTCAAGAGTGCTGACTCAGTGTAGTTGAGGTCCAAGGTTAATCCTAGCACATTGAAGAGAACAGGCTTGGTGGTCCACCTTTATAACTAACAATTGAGAGACAGGCTTGGTGGGCCACACCTTTAAAACTAACACTCATTAGACCAGAGGCGTTTACAGAGTGCGACTTCCATGTCATCTGCGAGTACTCAAAAAATTGGCAAACAGAAATATAGATATCCCAAATTACTACAAATTAAAAAACAAATATCCATGATGTAAAACCACAGCAATTTCCACATCACTTAAGATTACATCCACTTGTGAACTTCGACGGCTCAATAACACATTATAATGTAAGCAAAATCAGGTATTTACCATCTTAGACCATTTAACAGAGAATAAAATTCAATTTGGAAACTAAAAAGCAGACCTGGTAGTTCGAATCAAGTTGTAAAACTATTTCAATTGCTTTCTACACTAGATAGTGCAGAGTAGGCATGCTTGCACAAACTTCATGCTCACAAAACTAGAGAGTTCAGTTCCCTAAGAGAAACTAAATGGACACTGTACCAGGCGCTAGATACCTCCTTTCAGGGAAAAGTGAGAGGTAGATAGATGCACTAATGAGCCAATGTAGCCAGACAGGCAGAGACTACCCAAGTTGTTCAGAACGTAAACTTTTTTTTCGGTCCTATAGCTTAAAGGGGCGAGGGCTCTCTCCTGGGACTAGCGACTGATTTCAACAGTAAAACAAATATAAGCGCACATGAGGCAGGCAAAAAGGAAAAGCGACTGGGCTGCCATGCTCTTAACTCCACCCTCCCCGCGCTCTGCCTGGAGAAGGCCCAGCTCGCCCGCACCTCCTGTCCTGCCTCCCCTTTCCAAACCAACCAAGCTGAGCTAGTTAAGGTCCCGCCAAACTCCTCTCCCCTCCCCCAAGTCAGGCGCTGGGGAGGCCGGAGAGGCTCAGAGCTTCCGTTCCTTCCCCGCCCAGACGGGAAGCGGTGAGCAGAGGGAGAACTAAAACGCCCAGTCCCAGTCGCACTAACTCTCCGAGCGAAATCAGAATCCGGTCCCCACCACAGCCCAACACTCACTAGCCAGTCCCGCAGCCACCGCAGCCGTAACCCCACGTACCGCCACAGCCCCTATTCAGGGCCGCCCCCCCACCCACCCCCAGCTGCCTACCCCCGTGGGTTCCGGGGCACAGGAAGGAATTACTTCCGTCGCGTCACAGCCGCTTTTTGCAACGCGCGGGAGACTGGTACCTGGCGAGGCTGAGACACGGTTCGCTAGTAACTTGAGTCCAAAGGAAGTGCGTTGTGTTCAGTAAAACGGGTCAATTTAAGAGGCATCGCCACCAAATCCCAACCAATGAGATGCTAGGACTTCTGGATTCCCAGAATGCAGCGTCATCCGGATCCAGTTTCTGCCGTGAAAAGCTGAGCCAGCAAAGCAGCAGTGCATTCTGGGATATGTAGTTTCTTACAAGGTTACGGCTAGCGTTTGGTCCGAAGTGACACTGCATCTTGGGACTTGTGGTTTTCCGTGAAGTGTTGCAATTTTTGGTGGCCTTAAAGCTTGTCTCCGCCTCTTTGTGTAAAGTAATACACATCAACAAGCATCCTAACAAGCTCGCAATGTGTTTGCCTCATTTCCTCTCTTCCTGGTATAGGTCTGTGTTTACTGAAAATACGCCGCGCCCACCCGTCCAGATCTTGCTGCCTATCACCATTACTTAAGTCGGAGCCCATTATTTCTGCTCCTCAATTCCCCAGTTCCACACACCCCTCAACCAAACTTTTTATTGGCTTTCCCTTGGTTACCTAGGCACCTTTCCTAGAAAGCGGAAAAACAGCTCAGTTAGGTTTCCTCTCTGCTGTTTTCATGGAGTGGGCTTAAAAACGTAGATTCAAGATACTTAGTTACTCAACCAACGGCAGCTGTGTAATAGTATCCCACAAAAGGAAGTATGTATGTGCAATATGGAATTTCTGGAATTAAGGATGGCTTCTCAAAGGATTTTGTTCTTGAATTTTTGAGACCGGGTATTTCACTATTACCCTGGAACTATGTGGCCCAGACCAGCCATGCATCCTATCTCCTTCCTGAGCCATCAGCCACAGTAATTTCCCTATGTAATCCTAGGCTGCACTTCAATTCATAATTCTGCTTAAGCCTCAGAATGTTGAAACCCTGATGATGCCTACAATGGATTGCTCTGAAAGGGTTTTTTGTTTGTTTGTGTTTGTTTTATTTGATTTTGGCAGATAGGTATGGTTCTATGGAATTGGAAGCAAAAATAGAGCAGTGACCCTGAATTAATTTTCAAAGGCTTTAAAGAAATAATAAAAGTGTTTTGGTTAAAGCCCTGCAGTGGTGGCGCAGATCTCTTAATAACCTTAATCTTTTGTCCTTCTCTGTACCTAACATCTTCATGACCTTCAGATAAATCAACTGGAACATACAGAGCTCAAGCTTTCATTTGGAATGCACAGGGCATTAGTTTTCCAACCAAGCAAAAAGCTAAGAGTACTGTCAAATAGCACCTGAAGCCTAAACAGGTTTCCCCACTCGCCTTTAATCCCAGCACTTGGGAGGCAGAGGCAGGCAGATTTCTGAGTTCTAGGCCAGCCTGGTCTACAGAGTGAGTTCCAGGACAGCCAGGGCTACACAGAGAAACCCTGTCTCGAAAAATAAACAAACAAAAAAATAGGTACTCTAAATTGGTAAGCCATGTCTCCCATAAGGCTCTCCAAAATAACTGAATAGGCAGTTTATGTGTGTGACAAAGATGTCTACATTTAATCATGTCACTTTTATGAAAACATAGTACTGCCCTCATTTGAGTCTGTCTTTCAAGTAAATGCAGGACCTTGGGTGCATCAAATTATGTGGTGAGTTTTTGGGGCTGCTTGTCAGGAATCTGACATCGGCCAAGGACAAGGAAATGGACTTCAGGCAGGAATCTAACCTTGGGCCATGACGAGGAAGTAAGTTCAGGAAGGAATCTAATTTCAGGCTAAAACAGGAAGTAATTTCAGTCAGGAAACTAAATCTTAGGCTAGAACAAAGAAGTAGGCCTCAGGCATTGAATATTACTTTGGTTTAGGACTGGGAAGTAGGCTCAAATATTTTGGTCATCCTGATAAGCCCTTAGAAACAGTGATCACGCCGGGCGGTGGTGGCGCACACCTTTAATCCCAGCACTTGGGAGACAGAGGCAGGCGGATTTCTGAGTTCGAGAGTTCGAGGCTAGCCTGGTCTACAGAGTGAGTTCCAGGACAGCCAGGGCTACACAGAGAAACCCTGTCCAGAAAAACAAAAAAAAAAAAAAAAAAAAAAAAAAAAAAAAAGAAAAAAGCTGTTATTGGTGTTACAACCTATGACACCATGCCTGCAAGGCAATCATGCTACCACTGAGCTGTATCCCCAGTCCCGCCCATTTAATCTATTAGTGCTGTTTCAAAGCAGCTAAGCAGTGTCTTCTCAGTTTTCCGACGTATGATAAAAATCTAACGATATATAAAACTTGGCAAATAGCAAAGTGTTCTGAAAGTATTTGTGAAAATGTAAAAAAAATGAGTTCTACTTTTTTTTTTTTTTTGGTTTTTGATGCACCCAAGGTCCTGCATTTACTTGAAAGACAGACTCAAATGAGGGCAGTACTATGTTTTCATAAGAGTGACATGATTAAATGTAGACATCTTTGTCACACACATAAACTGCCTATTCAGTTATTTTGGAGAGCCTTATGGGAGACATGGCTTACCAATTTAGAGTACCTATTTTTTTGTTTGTTTATTTTTCGAGACAGGGTTTCTCTGTGTAGCCCTGGCTGTCCTGGAACTCACTCTGTAGACCAGGCTGGCCTAGAACTCAGAAATCTGCCTGCCTCTGCCTCTCAAGTGCTGGGATTAAAGGCGAGTGGGGAAACCTGTTTAGGCTTCAGGTGCTATTTGACAGTACTCTTAGCTTTTTGCTTGGTTGGAAAACTAATGCCCTGTGCATTCCAAATGAAAGCTTGAGCTCTGTATGTTCCAGTTGATTTATCTGAAGGTCATGAAGATGTTAGGTACAGAGAAGGACAAAAGATTAAGGTTATTAAGAGATCTGCAAATGGCCCATGATAAATTGGCTCTGGATTTGTAACATTTTGGACTGTCCATATCAGTCCAAACTGCACTTTGGACACGATGTTTTTAATTGGAAAAGAACAAATGTGAGTATGTCAACAAAATAAAAAGTTATATTATGTGAAAAGGTTCCATTTTTCTCCTATGTCAGTGGAGTTAAGTTAAATTATCATTCACTTTGTTCATAGCATATTTATATCATAGCATATAAAGTAAACATTATAACATTATGTATGTATGTATGTATGTATGTATGTATGCATGCAATTACATTCTTTTGGAACTGATATGCTAGAATTATTTCTGCAAGGCTAAATCATTTTCCCAAACCATTTTTAGGACCTATAAAGTGACTTTCATGAGAACGAAGTAGTTAACCGGGCTTCTGGGCTCTGTCTTTTTCACATGCCTAACCACACTGTCCTTGCACACGTTAAAAAGCCGACCAAATACTAAGAACTCGGTTGAAGCCCATCTTAGGCAGGGAGTTGGGGTTTCAGGTCCTCTGCTGCCGGGAACCCACAAAGTGGTGAAGGTTGCAGGCCGGCCGCATAGTCTGCGCACGCGACGCACCGCTCCGTGTTTTCCGCTTAAGGGGCGGAGCCTCACCGCTCTTGCGGGCCGCTGTGGTGTGGAGTGGTTTCTTGGCGTCCTTGGCTGCTGTTGGAAACCGACGACTACCATATCCAACCTGTGGCATGCTGTTGGCTTTGGGCGGCCGGTGGGCAGCGGGCCTATGGCCCGGCCGGACAAGGACAACGTGGTGTGCGGCGGCCGCGCTCCGAGGTTCCGGGATCGCCTTCTGGCGTGCAGCCTCACGCACCGAGCCCGCGCTGCCACGGAGCGGCGGGCTCCTGCATCTAGCCGAGCCTTGCGGGCCACCGGGGCGAGCGCAGGTCGGCCGTTCGTGGGCTGGGGTTGTGGGGAGCGGGTGCAACGTGCGGTCTGGCTAGCTTCAGTGAGGAGGGTACACGCCGGGTGAGGGTCCGGGAGGAGCAGGCCTAGACTTCGGGGCCTGCTGCTGCTGTCAATCCAGGGATTGAGTCTCCTTTCCTAGGCTGTTGAAGGACCGCAAGTGGTTTCAGGTTGTGTGGTTTGTGAACAACACCCAGTTTAGTTTCTTCCTCCTTTTTTTGTTTTTTGTTTTTTTTTGTTTGTTTGTTTTTCCGAGACAGGGTGTCCCAGTTTTGTAGACTCACCTGGCTTGAATTCGCTATATAGACCAGGTTGTCCTTGAAATCAGAGACCCGTCTACCTATTGTTTTCCCATTCTAGGATTAAAGATGTGCTCCACTGAGCAGGGACTAATTTCTTTCCCTAGAGATGAAGGTCAGAAGGGTGCTAAAAAATTGATGCAGCATCTGGAGACAGACGCGAAAGAACTTGTATAGCCTCATAAATTGTGTAATTTGTCTGTTTTTAGGAATGTCTTTGATTACCGACAGAAAGGTGGGGTAAGGGTGTTATCGAACAAACTATGTAGTATTTTAAACTACATTATAAAACGTAACAATTTTACTGGTTTTTGAGACAGAGTTGCTCTTGTGTAGCTTTGGCTGACCTGGGACTTAATCTGTAGACCAGGCTCACCTTAAACTCCTAGAGATCCCCTTCCTACCTCCGGAGTGCTGGGATTAAAGGCGTGTCTGGAAAGAATTTTATGTATTTTAAGCTACATTGTAAGAATTTGGCAGGGCGGTGGTGGTACACGCCTTTAATCCCAGCACTTGGGAGGCAGAGGCAGGTGGATTTCTAAGTTCGAGGCCAGCCTAGTCTACAGAGTGAGTTCCAGGACAGCCAGGAAGACTATACAGAGAAACCCTGTATCGAAAAAAAAAAAAAAAAGGAAAAAAAAAAAGAATTTAAAAACTTTTAAGAAACACGGAAAGTGGTAATTGGATTATTTGTTGTTAGTTGCTTGAGAATGGGTTTCCCTATATAGCCCTGGCAGATTTGTTGTAGGCCAGGCTGATGCTGGCTTCAAATTTACAGAGATCTTCCTGTTTCTGCCTCCTGAGTGCTGGGACTAAAGGTGTGTGCTGGAGCCAAGAGCAGATATTAGAGTCTTAACTGAATTTCAAAGCAAAGAAATTAGGCATACTTTTTACATTTTTAAATGTGAGTAATGTGAAATTCATTTTTTTTGATTCTCATTTGCACATACTTGGGAAACTCCTGTTATCGTGAGATTCATGTAGCTTTCAAGCAGGCTTTCTTGCTAAGAGATAGAAGGCCCAGGTATGGTAGTAGTACAGACTTAAAATCTTAGTTATAGTTCAGGAGGCTCAGAGCATAAGCTTCATGGTCAGTTGGAGGGCTGCCCGCATGGACCACATTAGTGACTGGACTTCATCTTCAAAACAAAATAGGGTTCAAGGCATTTTTGAGTCTTTTAGGGAAACAGCCTCTAAAAATACTAGTTATTAATGTAAGTAGTTCATAAGTGCTAACCATAGGATTGGTAGGATAAGCCTATCCTGTGGAGGCTCTTTTATTCAGAACAATAGTTTGATCACTGGACACGGATGTGCTCAGACTTGTGTGCATTACAAACCCCCAAACAAAACAAAGCACAAAAAACCCCTCAATTTACAGTATTTTGCTTAGATTGTTTTTTTGTTGTTGTCTTTTGGCTAGACTTGAACTCAGAGATTCACCTGCCTCTGCCTCCTGAATGTAGGGATCAAAGACATGTAACACCACACCCTCTGTGTTTTGCTTAGATTTTTGTATTAAAGCTAATTTAAACAAATGTTTGTGCATGTATAGTATGTTTGTATATACACATGTGGAGGTGAACATTGAGTGTCTTCTATCTCAACTTTAAGATTTTTTTTTTTTTTTTGATTTTTCGAAACAGGGTTTCTCTGTGTAGCCCTGGCTGTCCTGGAACTCACTCTGTAGACCAGGCTGCCCTCGAACTCAGAAATCCGTGCTTCTGCCTACTAAGTGCTGGGATTAAAGGCGTGCACCACCACCGCCCGGCCGAGAGTTCTTTGTATGGCATTGTAACAGGTTTTCTTCATTATATTTTAGGGAACAAAAACCAATTTTGATAAAAATAAAAACTTGTTCAAATAGCCGGTTACTCAATGGTTTCTTGTTTCAACAGATACCTGTTTGTTGGGGACAGTGTACCTGCTGCTTACATACACAAGTTGATAAACCAGAAAATGGCAGGCTGATTTATACTGGGAATCTGTCCCGAATGATATTTGGTGAGTAATCTCAAGTGAGGTTATTTCCTCATTTTCCTTTTTCTTTTTGAGAATTATAATTACATTTCTCCCTTCCCTTTCCTGCCTTCAAAACCTCCTATATATCCCTCCTCCTTTTCCTTTAAATTTATGGCCTCCACTGTTATTGCATGGATATATGTATATGCATAAATGTTTCTAAACATAATCTATTGAATGGATACAGTGTTACTTGTTTGTGTTTCAGGGCTGACCATTTTGTGATGGAAAACCAGTTGCTGTGCTCTTTCCTGGGGAAGACCACTTCTCCCAAGCCCAGCTTTACTCAATTGCCTGTAGTATTTGCATGGGGTTGAGGTCTCCAGGGCTTGTCCTTGTCCAGTAAACCCTTTTTAGCATATGTTAACCTTGTTTGTTTGTTTTTTAATTTAAAAAAAATTTTTTTTAGCATCACTCAATTATTATAACACATAAAATTGTTTTTTCCTTAAAGCGTATTGATATAATGTAGATGTTGAAACTTTCTTTTAGAGGTTTTAAAGATGTCTGAAGGCTGAGTTGCAGTATGTGATTTGACAGCTAGGCACTGAAGCTTCCCTTCCATCATCAATTGTCTTAGAATAGCCAACAGACAAATAAAATATGTGAATATTCTAAGCGAAGTGGGAGAGGACTGTAATAGTTTGTTTTGAAGCATCCCTCAGAAGCTCATGTATTTAAATATTAATATATTATCTTAATATATATTTATAAATAAATATTTATAATAATAAAAGTATAATAAAATTATATTTATTAAATATATAATATATATTTAATAACCTAACTTCTCCAGCTGATGGCACTGTTTTGAGAGTTCTGTAAACTCTAGAAGGGGCCTTCCTCTAGAAAGTGGGTCACTGGGGGTGAGTTCTTGAAGGGAGTAGTATCTTGTTCCCAGTTCCCCCCATCCTTCTCTCTCTGGTTCAGTTTGCCATGAAGGTCCCCCACTACATATACCTTTTGGCATGATGTTTTGCCCAAGTGCATAGGGACTAAGCAGCTGTAGATTGAGAACTCAGAAATAATGAGTCAAAGTTGCCTTTTCCTTCTTTTAAGTTGCTTTTCTTCAGTATTTGATCACAATTACAAAAGCTGTGACCAAAAGCCTGGTAACACCTTTTTTGTTGTTGTTTTGAGACAGGATCCTGACTATCCTATATGCCTGGCCCTGGTTATACCTCTTTAGAATAGTTGTTTGAAGCTGGGTGTGGTGATGCACACCTTTAGTACAAGTATATATCTGTGAGTTGAGGCTAGCCTTGTCTGGTTTACATAGTGAGTTTGAGGACAGTTTGAGCTACATAGTGAAATCCTGTCCAAAAAAGAAAGAAAGAAAGAAAGAAAGAGAGAAAGAAAGAAAGAAAGAAAGAAAGAAAGAAAGAAAGAAAGAGCAAAGCAACAGGGTGACAGGGGCCTGTATAATGACACCTGGCCTCACTGGCCTCATTTTTACTTGTATCTTTTTAAATTTAACATTTAAAATGAGTGTGGGGCTGGCAGTGTATCTCAGTGGTTAAAATACTTACTTGCCTAGGGCTTGAAGTCCTATGTTCAGTTCTGAGCATTGGGGGAATGTTTTATATTTCCAAAATCTATAAATTATGTTACTTCAGTTTGTCTTAGAATTTGTAGAAGACTTAGTTATTCTCCCAGGTGACAGGAGGTTATTGTAGAGAGGGGAAAGATGGCCGATTGAGTAACTTCAGTAAAGCTGTTTAGATCATAGTTTAGTGGAGACACTGAGGACTTAGTGAAGTTATATGATTTGTTTAGTCCCCAGAGGTTGTCCTGTATTTTAGTAATGTCAGTAAGAATGGAATCAGAAATACCTTGCAGATTGCTGTATGGCCAAGGATTGCCACAGAATTTCAGTGCTTACATATACTCATGTTGGTATCAAATGACTATATAAAATTTAACTCTGGAAATCTGTTATTTCTCAAGTGTATGCTATTAAAGTATGCTTAAAATTTTAGCTATCAATAACTTTTTTTTAATAAGGAGCAATTATTCTACTGACTTTAGAATTACAGTTCAGTGGTTATTATCATTAGGGGGTTAGAAATTTCTCCAAAAGTCCTTACTGAGTTGAAGGTTTATATACGAAGGTTTATTGATTTGTGCTGTATCCTTCCTTGACTCTTATTTATAAAGGAGAAAGCCAGGATTGATTTTTTTTTTTTTTTTTCGAGACAGGGTTTCTCTGTGTAGTCCTGGCTGTCCTGGAACTCACTCTGTAGACCACGCTGGCCTTGAACTCAGAAATCCGCTTGCCTCTGCCTCCCAAGTGCTGAGATTAAAGGCGTGCACCACCACTGCCTGGCTAAGGATTGATTTTTGTATGGATAAGCTATAGTGTCTGCGGGAAGAGTATAACTACAGTATCAAAGTTCTTCAATTTTGGAGGTAGGCAAAAATTTAGTATTGAAGAGTACTGGCTTCTCTTCCAGATTCAATTCTCATTAATCACATGGAGGCTGACAACCATCTACAACTACAGTTCCAAGGGATCTAACTCCTTCCTATAGACACCAGGTATACATGAGTTGCACAGACAAAACACCCAACAGATAAAAAAATGTTAAAAACATTTTTGGGTAGGCAGTAATGTCACACACCTTTAATCCCAGCACTCAGGAGGCAGAGGCAGGCAGATCTCTGGGAGTTCGAGGCCAGCCTGGTCTACAAGAGCAAGTTCTAAGACAGCCAGGACTATACAAGAGAAACCCCGTATTGAAAAACAAAACAAAAAAGGTACAGTTGTAGTTTGTAGAGGAAGTTTTTGCCTGAATCTCTCAGTGTTGTGGAGAGTAGAAAGTGCCATGTCAAAGGTCAGTGCGACTTTGCGGGACTCAGGGAGGGACACTGAGGAAGCGCTGTGATCTGGGGCATGAACTGCTACATGGTAAACACTTGAAGGCTTCCCTCATTATTGTTAATTCAAATTACAGATACCATGTCTGCTATGTATTGGACCAGGGACACTGTGTTAGGGATACTACTTAAAGGTAATGCAGAATCGTAACATTGGTAGGAAAGAAAGGATGAATATACCACATATTCAATGCAGTGTTATAAGTTAGATATGAGTTCACGTTGAGGAGACAGAACAGTCTCTCAGGATGGCTTTCCTAACTGAATGGCCTGTGACTGGCCACATTCCAGCAGTTCCTGCTGCTACACCTTCCTATCTGGCAGTTTCTTTTTAGTAGCTGAGAGCAAATAGAAATGTATTTTCTTACAGGTCTGGGGGCTACAATGTGATCTGGGTCACATTTCTTGAAGACTCTAGGTAGTATTCTTACCCCTTAACCCTCTGGTGACTTCTGGCTACCTTAGCTTTCTTGGCTTGTAACTTGCCTAACTGTGACTTGCTTGCTCTTCCTGTGGCAGCCTTCCCTGCATCTCTTACTTTTTGTGTCCTTATAAGGGCACTTTCATTAGATTTAGAGCCCACCTTAATCCTGCATGATCTCATCTTGTTCTTTAGATCTTCAAAGATCTTATTTCCAAATAAGGACACATTATAAAGTTCTTGTAAGTATCAGTTTTAGGGGACACTAACTTACTACAGTGAAACAGAAGTAATGGGGAAAGTATTTTGGAAGGCACGAGAGTGTTATATAGGAGGCACCATGGTCTTCATTTCTACTGTGCATACTGATGTCATATCAAGCACCTTCGTGAAGAGGAGAGGACCTGCTCTTAAATTACTAAAAATATAATTAAGCTTTCAGCCAATAGCAGTATATAAGAATGAATACTTAGTTCCAGCTTTGTGAATAGTAAGTTTTCAGAGTCGTTTTTGTCAGTTTGGGGGAAAGCAATGATACTTACTTTAACTACATGTATCTTGTGAATGAGGTTTTGGTACCAATTTGTTTAAATTCATTTAAAGGGGCATTTACATATTTTCCCTTAAAATGTCAAGCTTTTTGGTTTTCTCATTCCATAAACATTTATCCTCCTGATATAAGTTTAGAATGTTTCTGTTAGGGATAGGATGTATCTCAGACTGGCCTCAAACATGATACTTTAGGTTGGTGGCCTTGAACCTTTGGCCTCCACATCAGATGCTGAGGTTACTGGTGTGTGCGTATACTTAGCTATGTTGTTTTCCTCTTTTCTTTCCTTTTCTTTTTTTTTAAAATATAGTTAGACTGCCAGTCAGTCTTTTGACCCTGGTTGATCCTGGAACTTCAAAAAATATTTTAACTATTTTAAGTGTGTGTGTGTGTGTGTGTGTGTGTGTGTGTGTGTGTGTGTGTGAGTCTGTGCACTTGAGTACAGATGGCCCAGAGTCAGGAGCTGTTGAATCCATCAGAGGCTGGAAATACAGGTAGTTGTGAGCCTCCTCTCACTGTGCTGCTGAGAACTGAGTCCTGGAAGAGCCCTACTCTCCCTGACTGCTGAGCATTCCCCTGGTTTGCTTGTCTGCAGGATCTCATGCTGTCCATTCTCACCACAGACCTGCTGTGTAGCAGAAGCTGGTTGTGACTTTTGCTTTCTCCCTCTGTGTTCTGGGATTACATGTGTATGTGGCATCATGCCCAGCTTTGTTTCTGTATTTTGAATCATACTTAAAACTTTTCCAATTCAGATTATAAAGGACTTCATGGATATGGATACCTCTTCGATTTCTTTCTTCACACTTAAATCTCTGCACTCTGGATTTTTCATGGCTTATGGTATAAAGAATGGATTGAATTTTATCCTTTTGTTTTTAAGCTTTTAAATTTTTATTTTGTGTGTAAGACAGGGGGAGAGAAGGAGAGAGGGAGATGTGGCATATGTGTAGAAGTCAAAGAGCAGCAGGTCTCTCCTCTCTTTGTGTTGGTTCTTGGGCTGAAATTAGATTGTCAGAGCTTGTACAGCAAGTGCCTGAATCTGAGCCCAGGTTTCTGTATCATTTTCTATATCCAGTTTTCCCAAACCTCACATCACTTCCTAAAAAGTTAATTTTTTTACATACTGATTTCCTTCCTTCCTTCCTTCCTTCCTTCCTTCCTTCCTTCCTTCCTTC